CTCTGTTGATATGATCATGTGATTTTTTTTCTTTTTAGCATTTTGATGTGATGGATTACATTAATTGATATTCAAATGTTGACTCACACTTGCCTGCCTGGGATAAATACCACCTGGTTGTGATGCAGAATTCTTCGTATACATTATTGGATTAGGTTTGCTAATATTCTATTGAGGATTTTTGCATGAGAGATAATGTTTTGTAGTTCTCTGTTCTCGTAGTATGTTTGTCAGTTTTTGGTATTGAAGTAATGATGTTCTTCTTGTAGAATGAGTTAGGAAGTATCTCATCTTCTATTCTCTGAAATAGGTTGTAGAGAATTGGTATAATTTCTTCCTTAAATGTTAGTTGAGTTTCCCAGTAAACACATCTCTGCCAAGTGCTTTCTGTTTTGAAGGTTATTATGTTTTTATTCAATTTTTATAACAGATATAGGCCTATTCTGATTACCTTTTCTTGTGTGTGTTTGAGTAAATTCTGTCTTTCAAGGAATTGGTTCATTTCATCTACATTATCAGATGTGTACACAGAGGGTTGTTCATAGTTTTTAATGTCCACAGGATCTGTAGGGGTGTTCTCTCTTTCATTTCTGATACTAGTAATTTCTTTCCTCATTTTCTCTTAAAGAACCACACATGCTGTGTGTAGTTTCATAAATGTGGTGTGTGTTCTTTGTGCTCTTGCAGCTGGACTTTTTCTGTTGCCTCACCTTCATGAGAATATGTGGTTCATATGAGAGAGCTAAACATCTTTGGTGTTTCAGTGAAGTTCAAACCATGTACAAAATAGAATTATATTTTCTCCTTTCTTACACCAGTCTACATTGTACTTTTCTTTAAATTAATTCATCTAACCCATTATGTCAGGTATGTATTTACACATATGTCTTTATACCACACTATAAGCTCCTTGGAGGAACAGACTTTTATTCATAGCCATAAGGATGGTTCTCAAACTATAATGTAACCATTTTAATAGCATTTGTAGTAGTTAATAAATTATTACAAGATAGTGTATTTCCACTGAGTACAAAGAAGCTGCATCTTATATAAGATACATATGACATGTGCACACACACACACAGAATTGTGCACTCCCAGATTCCTGTTTTGTGACCCAGGGCTGGTGACATCAATTGAGGATAAATATGCCATTACAGGGATTGGTGTCATTTGATGATGTGGCTGTGAACTTCACCTGGGAGGAGTGGCAGGACCTGGATGATGCTCAGAGGGCCTTATACAGGGATGTGATGCTGGAGACCTACAGCAGCCTGGTGTTGTTGGGTGAGTGAAACTCCCCAGTAAGTCCCAGGTATGAGACTTTCTTCCTTTTTAGTATATATGTATATATAGAAACCATTTATAAGGTTTAATGGTATTTAGGTAAGATTGCATCTCACTAAGAATGAGTCTTACCTCTTTCTCACAGAAGGTTCGAGTTGGCCCCTTCATTGCAAAGCTCCTGCTGATGAGTTCTTGTCATCCTCCCAGGGATCTGATTTAGCAATTTTAGAAAGTCCTGCATTATTTTCCATGAACAGGACACAGCATTACCAAACCTGAGGTGATTTTCAAGTTGGAGCAAGGAGCAGAATCATGGATGGTAGAAGAACCCCCAAGCCAGAGCCTCTCAGGTCAGTCAGCACATACTGGGCAGGGAGGCCGGGAAGAATACATTCCAGAAGGCTGTCAGCAGTGTACAGCTATTTCTCCCAATGTGTCCCAGGTCCCAGACCAAAGGACAGCCAATCTGCATGCAGCAAGTTCATGCCTTATCTAATCTCCAAAGAGGGCTCTCACATAAATATCCGCACATTTTATTTTTCTGAATTTCTTAAAATTTTACCTGAAATCTAATCCCTACCTTTCTCTTCTTAGACATTTTTCTTTACTATTCACTTTCTCAGTATTCTCAGTTGTACCCCTTTACTCCATTTTCATGCACATTTTTTTCAGAATGCATCAGTTCATTCTTTGTTGCTTATAACAGAATACCTGAAACTGGGTAAATTATAACAAAACAAAATGTATTTTTCATGGTTCTGGAGATTAAGAACTCCATGCTCCAGGGGCCATATCTGGTGAGGGCCTTCTTTCTGGTGGAGACTCTCTGCAGAGTCCTGAGTCCACATGCCTTCTCCCTCTTATGAAGCCATCTGTCTACTTATGGATAACCCATTGAACCATTAAGCCATTATGCCATTAATGCATTTGTTCGTTCGTGGGAGCACAGCCCTCACTATCCATTCACCTCCCCAAAGCCTCACTTTTCAAATACCATACTTGGATTTCCCACCCTCTTAACATAGTTACAATGGAGATCAAGCTTCACTATGAGTTTTTGGGGGACCATCAAAGTATAGCACAGACACTTATTCATACACTTATTTATTCTTTCAACACATCTTCATCAAGCAGGTTTTAAGCACTGGTACTTTTATAGTTGTAGTTACAATAGCAGTGATCTAAATAATGTTTTTCATTCATTGACTTTACATTCTAATGAGAGAGAAAAACAAGAAAACAATATACTTCAAGTAGTTGTATAAAAATTACAAGGAATATTTAACCAGAGAGAGTGAAAAATGAGATGGAATTTAGAAAGGATGTTCAGAGAAGGCAATTTTAGGAAGATTATTGTTTACTTTGGCATAGCACCAGTTTAAGAGAACTTTTTCCCTTTTTTTTTTTTTAAGATGACCGGTAAGGGGATCTTAACCCTTGACTTGGTGTTGTCAGCNATCAAGGGTTTCATGTTGGGGGTTCAGATTGCTGTATGGTAGTGGAGTTCGAAGTTAGAATTTTTCTCTTTTTTCTGTGCAAACAAAGAATGAGAAATGAGCAGATGACTCCATTTTCTATGAAACTAGGAGATGGCTGAAACTTCAGTGCAAAAAACCAAAGACTTCAGAAGCACTGAATTATGAAGCAGTGGTGTGTGTGCCAGAGATTGGGGGAAGGAAACATGTCAGTCTTAGAAGGAGCTAGAGAAACATTTTTCAAAAGTGATGGGCTTGCCTTGGGTTGTAGAACCAAATATTTTAGACCAGCAGGGAGGGTCTGCCCAGGAGGGTGTACTGGAGCTTTCTACACTGTAACAGTTTTGAGAAGCAGAAAAAGTCACATTAAATGAGTTTGGAGGAATTTATCTAGAGTGGGGGAAAGTTTTTTTATTTGAAAAACTTCCAGATACTTATAGCCATTTCCCAGAAAAGAGTTAAAATTATAAAAACATTGTTGCAAAATTCAGAACTTCACCCTTATTCCTGCATATGTGAAAGAAAATTGGCTCACTCTTGCACCTAAAAGTAGCTGATCCAGGGCAACCTTGCCATCTTCAGAGGAGAATAATGAGAAAAAGAACAGCATGAGATACCCACTGATGGTATAAGAACAAATAGAGAAAAAGAACAGGGAAAACAGGTGGCCCATGATAAACAGTTGTAGACTATGAATAGGCAGTAGGTAAAAAAAATTTTTACCAAATAACTTTTCATGAATTTTTTTAAAAAGTAAATAAAGAAGCAAAGAAAATATGATTTAACATTAGAAAATATATTAATAGAATTTATTACATTAAGTTAGTGGGAAGAAAAGCCATATACTTATAAGACTAATACCTATTATTGATTTTTATAAATTCCAATGCCACTAGGATTGGACCAAACCTTTTTACCTTTACATGAGCTTTCTTAGATTGGTTATTTTGTTTTCATTTTACATGTCAACAAAGTTGATGACCTAATTTAAAGGAAGCAAGAAATTCATGGTATACATTTGTGGCAAGGTGTACACCAACAGTGACACATCAACTGACGAGAAATTTGAGTTAGGAAAAACATTTTATTTTAGCTCAAACCATATTTCAGATCTGATTATAAATAATGAAAACTATTCAAGAATGAGGTCTGAGGAGTTAAATGTATGTCAGAATGCACTTTATCCTACAGAGCCTGATGAGATGNAATTTCTTTCCTCATTTTCTCTTAAAGAACCACACATGCTGTGTGTAGTTTCATAAATGTGATGTGTGGTCTTTGTGCTCTTGCAGCTGGACTTTTTCTGTTGCCTCATCTTCATGAGAATATGTGGTTCATATGAGAGAGCTAAACATCTTTGGTGTTTCAGTGAAGTTCGTGTGTGTTCTTTGTGCTCTTGCAGCTGGACTTTTTCTGTTGCCTCACCTTCATGAGAATATGTGGTTCATATGAGAGAGCTAAACATCTTTGGTGTTTCAGTGAAGTTCAAACCATGTACAAAATAGAATTATATTTTCTCCTTTCTTACACCAGTCTACATTGTACTTTTCTTTAAATTAATTCATCTAACCCATTATGTCAGGTATGTATTTACACATATGTCTTTATACCACACTATAAGCTCCTTGGAGGAACAGACTTTTATTCATAGCCATAAGGATGGTTCTCAAACTATAATGTAACCATTTTAATAGCATTTGTAGTAGTTAATAAATTATTACAAGATAGTGTATTTCCACTGAGTACAAAGAAGCTGCATCTTATATAAGATACATATGACATGTGCACACACACACACAGAATTGTGCACTCCCAGATTCCTGTTTTGTGACCCAGGGCTGGTGACATCAATTGAGGATAAATATGCCATTACAGGGATTGGTGTCATTTGATGATGTGGCTGTGAACTTCACCTGGGAGGAGTGGCAGGACCTGGATGATGCTCAGAGGGCCTTATACAGGGATGTGATGCTGGAGACCTACAGCAGCCTGGTGTTGTTGGGTGAGTGAAACTCCCCAGTAAGTCCCAGGTATGAGACTTTCTTCCTTTTTAGTATATATGTATATATAGAAACCATTTATAAGGTTTAATGGTATTTAGGTAAGATTGCATCTCACTAAGAATGAGTCTTACCTCTTTCTCACAGAAGGTTCGAGTTGGCCCCTTCATTGCAAAGCTCCTGCTGATGAGTTCTTGTCATCCTCCCAGGGATCTGATTTAGCAATTTTAGAAAGTCCTGCATTATTTTCCATGAACAGGACACAGCATTACCAAACCTGAGGTGATTTTCAAGTTGGAGCAAGGAGCAGAATCATGGATGGTAGAAGAACCCCCAAGCCAGAGCCTCTCAGGTCAGTCAGCACATACTGGGCAGGGAGGCCGGGAAGAATACATTCCAGAAGGCTGTCAGCAGTGTACAGCTATTTCTCCCAATGTGTCCCAGGTCCCAGACCAAAGGACAGCCAATCTGCATGCAGCAAGTTCATGCCTTATCTAATCTCCAAAGAGGGCTCTCACATAAATATCCGCACATTTTATTTTTCTGAATTTCTTAAAATTTTACCTGAAATCTAATCCCTACCTTTCTCTTCTTAGACATTTTTCTTTACTATTCACTTTCTCAGTATTCTCAGTTGTACCCCTTTACTCCATTTTCATGCACATTTTTTTCAGAATGCATCAGTTCATTCTTTGTTGCTTATAACAGAATACCTGAAACTGGGTAAATTATAACAAAACAAAATGTATTTTTCATGGTTCTGGAGATTAAGAACTCCATGCTCCAGGGGCCATATCTGGTGAGGGCCTTCTTTCTGGTGGAGACTCTCTGCAGAGTCCTGAGTCCACATGCCTTCTCCCTCTTATGAAGCCATCTGTCTACTTATGGATAACCCATTGAACCATTAAGCCATTATGCCATTAATGCATTTGTTCGTTCGTGGGAGCACAGCCCTCACTATCCATTCACCTCCCCAAAGCCTCACTTTTCAAATACCATACTTGGATTTCCCACCCTCTTAACATAGTTACAATGGAGATCAAGCTTCACTATGAGTTTTTGGGGGACCATCAAAGTATAGCACAGACACTTATTCATACACTTATTTATTCTTTCAACACATCTTCATCAAGCAGGTTTTAAGCACTGGTACTTTTATAGTTGTAGTTACAATAGCAGTGATCTAAATAATGTTTTTCATTCATTGACTTTACATTCTAATGAGAGAGAAAAACAAGAAAACAATATACTTCAAGTAGTTGTATAAAAATTACAAGGAATATTTAACCAGAGAGAGTGAAAAATGAGATGGAATTTAGAAAGGATGTTCAGAGAAGGCAATTTTAGGAAGATTATTGTTTACTTTGGCATAGCACCAGTTTAAGAGAACTTTTTCCCTTTTTTTTTTTTTAAGATGACCGGTAAGGGGATCTTAACCCTTGACTTGGTGTTGTCAGCGTGGGAAGAAAAGCCATATACTTATAAGACTAATACCTATTATTGATTTTTATAAATTCCAATGCCACTAGGATTGGACCAAACCTTTTTACCTTTACATGAGCTTTCTTAGATTGGTTATTTTGTTTTCATTTTACATGTCAACAAAGTTGATGACCTAATTGAAAGGAAGCAAGAAAGTCATGGTATACATTTGTGGCAAGGTGTACACCAACAGTGACACATCAACTGACGAGAAATTTGAGTTAGGAAAAACATTTTATTTTAGCTCAAACCATATTTCAGATCTGATTATAAATAATGAAAACTATTCAAGAATGAGGTCTGAGGAGTTAAATGTATGTCAGAATGCACTTTATCCTACAGAGCCTGATGAGATGCGTGCTGGAGAGAAAAATGATGAACATCATATAACTGGGAAATCATGCAGACATCATGGGCATCTTAGTCAACCCAACAAGATTCACACTGGGCAGCAGCCTTTTGAACGCAGAGGAGACGAGAAAGCCTTCAACACAGAGACAATATTATTTACACGTGAGAAGGTTCATATGGGAGAGACATTCTGTAAATATGATAAATATGGAAAAACCTGTAATAAGTCAGCTCTCATTGCCCAAGAGATAACTCAGGTAGGGAATAAAACTTTTCAATGTGATGTAAGTGGGAAAATGACCTGTAAAAATTCTAAACTCGCTAAACATCAGAAAAGAAATACAGAAGAGAAACCCTACAATTGTACTAAATGTGAGAAGTCTTTCATTAAGGAATCATACCTCACTACACATCAGAGAACACATACAGGGAAGAAGCCCTATCTGTGTAATGACTGTGGAAAAATCTTTCATAAGAAGTCACTCCTTAGCAGACATCAGAGAATTCACACAGGTGAGAAACCATATGAATGTTATATATGTGGAAAAACTTTTCAACAGAAGTCACACCTCAGTGTGCATCAGAGAATTCACACAGGTGAGAAACCTTTTGAATGTAGAGAATGTGGAAAAACCTTTCTTCGGAAGGCACACCTCAGCAGGCATCAGAGAATTCACACAGGTGATAAACCATATGCATGTAAAGAATGTGGAAAAACCTTTCACCAGAAATCAGAGCTCAGTGTTCATCAGAGAATTCACACAGGAGAGAAACCCTTTAAATGTAATGAATGTGGAAAACGCTTTTACCAGAAGTCACAGCTCAGTATACATCAGAGAATCCACACAGGTGAGAAGCCCTTTGAGTGTAATGAATGTAGAAAAACCTTTCATCAGAAGTCACACCTCAGGGTGCATCAGAGAATTCACACAGGTGAAAGGCCCTATGAATGTAATGAATGTAGAAAAACTTTTCACCGTAATTCAGACCTGAGCAGGCATCAGATAATTCACACAGGTGAGAAACCACATGAATGTAAAGAATGTAGAAAAACTTTCTACAGTAAATCACAACTCAATGTACATCAGAGAATTCACACATTTGAGAAACTATATGAATGTATAGAATGTGGGAAGTCTTTCTACAGTAAATCAAAACTCAATGTTCATCAGAGAACTCACACAGGTGAGAAACCATATGAATGTAAAGAATGTAGGAAAGCTTTCTACAGTAAGTCAAAACTCAATGTACATCAGAGAATTCATACTGGTGAGAAACCCTTTGAATGTAAACAGTGTAGAAAATCTTTTAACCAAATGTCACACCTGAGAAGCCATCAGAGTACTCACACTGGTGAGAAACCATATGAATGTAAAGATTGTGGAAAAGCTTTTACTCAGAAGTCACACCTCAGCAGGCATCAAAGAATTCACAAAAGTGAGAAACCATATAAATGTAAAGACTACAGGAAAATTTTCTACAGTAAATCAGTCCTCACTAAACATCAGAATTCACAGAGATGAGAAAACACATTAATGTAATGACTGTGGGAAAATATTTTCACAGAAGTCAGCCCTCATTGACAGAGAATTCACACATGGGAAGTACCTGTGCAATGAGGATGGAAAAACCTTTTGCCAAAATTCACACCTCAAGAGACATCACAGAAAACAAAAACCCTATGTATTTCCAACTGTCTCTCAGTATTCAAAGAAGATTGTTTCCAGGATTCCCTGCAAACACCAAAATTTGTGGATGCTCAAGTCCCTTCTGTAAAGTAGTATAGTATTTGTCATATGCTTTACATCTTGACTAGATTACTTGTAATACTGAATACTACACAAAAACTATGTAAATAGTTGTTATACTATGGTTTTTTATGTGTATAATTGTATTGTTATATTTTACTTTTTATCTTTTTAAATGTTTTTGATTCATGGTTGGTTGAATCAGCAGATGTGGCACCCACAGGTATGTAAGGCTAACTATAATGAGTGTGGCCACATCGTTTGTCAGAAATCACACCACAGGAGGCTTCAGAGAATCTGCACAGGGAGAAATCCTGTATGGTGGACAGAGGCTGTGTATTTTCCCAAATCCTCTCTCTTTTCTCTTGTACACCCAGATTGCATACTCAGCCTCTTGTTATTGTGTGTGGGACCATGTAGGTGACTCTGTTCAGGGGAATATGACACAAGTAGTGAACATACTTCCAGGCCTGGCAACATAACATTGTCCATGTGGCTTCCCTGATTTCTTATGCCCTCTGGGACTGAAGTGCCACTGACCCTCTTGGTGGCCTTGGGAGCCATAGATGAGAGAAGGCCACCATGACAATGCAGAAGGTATTGATAGAAGAGAACAGAGATCTTCCTACACTTCTGTCCCCAAACCTCCATTTGTACTTGCATGAATGAGAAATAAATATTTCGTCTGTTTAGCCATGGTATGTGTGGTCCCATTTGCATTACAGCACAAGCAGCCCACTGTAGCTAATTCACTTTATAAACCTTCTGAGAGAAGTCACTAGTCCTTGTCCATCAGAAGATTCACACAGGAGAAAGTCCTGTTATCTTGTATCAAGTCAGTTTATGGAAAAATTAAAATATGGAGAGAAACAGCACAACAAATAAGTAATATCTTACCAGGCAGGGACAGCTCCCTGTGCTGGCCAGCTGCCAAAAATACAAAATAAGGCAAAACGTCAGTTATGTATTTTGTTATTGATGGACAAACTACACACAACCTCACATTATATGTATTTTTTTCCTCAGTGAACTAGTGGGGACTACAGCATGGAAATAACTGGCTTTGAATTCTCTGCTCACTGATTCTATTTTTAATTCTATGAGTCTAATTTTTTTTAATACCGAGTCCTATGGGGATAATTTGGGGGTGGGGTGTGTCCTACAGGTCTGGGAGGGCTCACGTCCTGTTCAGTAGGTGGCTTTGGGTCTCTCTCTTCACAAACTTCTAGGGGGTTGGTACCTGTCTGTGGAAGACAGGGTCTGAGGCGAGGACCTCTCCCATCTCTATGCCCACTCCGTTCCCTCCTGCTCTGCCATCATCATGCCTCTGTGCCTTTGCCTTCACTGTGCTGCCTGCAATAACACCTGTGAAGACCCTCCTTGCCTTCAGTGTTCCCGCCCCATTCAGGATCTGGCTCTGCTCCCTGGCTGTGCTGCCTGCAATAACACCTTCTGTGAAGACCCTCCTTGCCTTCAGTGTTCCCGCCCCATTCAGGATCTGGCTCTGCTCCCTGCCACATAATTCCAGGGCTCATCACCTTTCCTGGGCCAACCCCTTGCTCTTGCATGCTGTGGACTTAGGCAGGACCCTGCACCCAGTGCCTTTCTAGCTGCTTCAGCTGGATGAGGAGGGACAAGAGAGTGAACATTAGAGGCAAGGTGGAGAGAAAAGGAGAAACCCCCATCAGCCACCTTTGTTGGCAGGGGGACAGGGGCTCCATACCCACCTCTGTTGCTTCTGCAGTAGCTGATGGTGTTGGGGGCCTCCAGAAACTCCTTGGTCTTCATGTCCTGGAACAGCTGCCTGGGGGCTTGCGGTTGGGGTAAGCCCTGGCCTCTCTTCCCTCCTGCCCTCTCCATCTCTTCCCTCCTGCCCTCTGTATCTCCACCTCTGCGTCTTACCCCATGGCTGCTGTCTCCTGAATGCAGAGGAAGAGCCCTCAGTGATGGTGGAGCAGCCCTCAGCCTGCACAGGGAGCACAGCTGCGGCTTCACGGCTTCCAGCTCCAGGTGCACCAGCTTCTCTGTAGCAGGAAGGAGCAGATGAGAAGGCAAGGGCAGGTGTGGTAGATGTGAGCCACCCTCTTTCCCTTACCTCACCTCCCTTGCAAATCACTCTTGCCAGCTGCTCTGGCCTCTGAGACGGCTGGAAGGAGGGCCATCCACACCTCCCACTTCCCCTTTTATGCATCAAAGAAGGCCACATGGATGTGGTCATTTACTTGATCCCCACACATCACTTCTGACCTCTCTGCTCCTCCAGGCACTCCAGCCAGGATCCAGCCTCAGGACCTTTGCAGTAGCCATTCCATCCCCCTGGGCTTCTCTCACTCCAGATGCCCACAGTGCTGTGCTGGAAAGACTCATGTGATTGTTAATGTTCTGGAACTTTTTCAAGTATAAAATCGGTCCAGGGTGAGTATTTACAACAGAGAAACCTGCAAACGCTCCAAATCTGGGCTGTTGTCAGGAGAATCAGGTACCAGCACAGTGCAGCTCCTCCCTTCCTCTCCTGTGCTCTGGTGGCCTTCTCATTGCCTCCTTCCTCTCTCCTGACATTTATTCTCTATTGTTTGGTGCCTGGGACCCCTCAGGGGCAATCACTGTCTGCTTTCATCTCGACCTCCTCCCCTAAGCCAGTAATGGTTCCAGAGATCCTTGTTGGGAACCAACTTGACCTTGGTTTTACCAATGTTCCTACAGGCCACTGTATGGACATAGGAGGGCAGCAGGGATGAGGGTCACAGGATTGGTGATGAGAACACTGGGCAGCCAAGAGGGTGGTGACAAGAGACTGGATTCCGGGTGATGTTGACATCAGGACCTCCAGGGCTTGCTCGGCAGCTGGGTGTGGCAGGTGAGAGGAAGAGGCGTGGGGGTGACCCTGTGGTCAGGTCCTGGTGCTGCTGGGGAAGATGTGGAAGGTGGGAGGAGTGGCTTTGAGTAACATGAATTTCCCTGAGGTCTTGTGCTGGCCTATCAGGTCGTCCAGCTCTTCCTCAAAATACATTCTGTGGGCTGACCACACAGGCGTGAGGGGCCATGGGCTGAGACCCCACACTGTGACCTTGGGGGCTTTGCCCATGCTGTGCTCCACTGGACGCACCTTCCCCACCCTGACCCTCTGGGACTCAGTTCAGCCAGCTTTGCCTCTAACCCCATCCCTGATAGTGCCCCACCTACAACCCAGCCCAGCCCCTCAGGACCTCATGTGCTGGGACCACTTCAGCTGCTTCTGTTCTTTTCATCCTCAATCTGGGAGTTCAAGGGCAGAAATTCTCTCCTTCCCCTCCTGCAACATGGTGTTCTCCCTGCGAAGAGGCAGCCTCAACCACATTCTTTGACTCCCCAGGAGAGGCTTGGGTGGAGCGTCTTCCTCCTTCCCCCGAGAGCTATTCTTTCCCTCTACACTGAGGTCCTTCTCTGGGACTGCAACATGGTGTTCTCCCTGCGAAGAGGCAGCCTCAACCACATTCTTTGACTCCCCAGGAGAGGCTTGGGTGGGGCGTCTTCCTCCTTCCCCCGAGAGCTATTCTTTCCCTCTACACTGAGGTCCTTCTCTGGGACATAGTAGTGGGCAGGGGTGACATGACCACTTGCCCCCTGGAAACGTCTTTGTGCGGTTAAGGGATATCAGCGTGGTCATGGTGAAGTGAATATGCACACGTACATATTAATATGTGATTGTCCCAAACAATCCCAATCTCAGTGTTTCTGGGCTTCAGTTCTCTATTAGGCCTCATGGCTGACTTAACATCAGCACAGCCTGGTCTAGGAATTTTCCACCTTCTTCCCCCCTTGCCCCTCCCTATCTCATGTTAACCAACTTTTCACCCCCTAGCCCCTTGCCTTTTGAGAAAAACCAGAATTTGTGCAAAACAGACTTTTATGCAAAAATGACCACCCAGTGCTGTTCCTCTAAATCAAACCTTATAAAACCTTTTTAGTCTATACAGGGGTGGGACTGATCTGATTCAGTCTCCCCTCCATGTTGGTGGAATAAATCTGCTCGGCTGAAATAGCACCTGGCTTGGATTTGTCTCTCCCGTTTCTCTGTCTTGCCAAATCTAACATCCTCTGGTCACAAAATAGCTAGATAAGCATTCAGGAGGTGGAGAGATGGGTGGCCATGTAGCTGGGTGGATGGAAGGATAATGGATGAATGGAGAGAGAATGGACAGGTGGTCGGCTCAATGCCTAGATGAAGAGGCAGAGGAGTGAATAAATAGTAAGGAGTCAGATGACAAAGAGTAAAAGACACAGAATAAAAACTGGTTGAAGAAATTGAATTGAGGATGTAGCAAATTAATGGTTATGCCAGTGAGGGAGAGAATTGCCCTTTTGTGTGGCTGATGGGGAAGACATGCTTTGGCCTCTCATTGTACAGATGACAGAATGAGAGCTCCAGACCTGAGACTCATCTCTGCTCTACCAGAATAAAGGGGCAGGACAGAGCCAGACTGGGCTGTGAGCTCCTACCTCTGTGTGTCGTTCTTCTCCTCCTGGCAGTGCAGGTGCAGGGTGTTCATGGTTTCTGCAGGGACAGCACCAGGGACCTGTGAGAGCCTCTGAAGCATAGTGTTGGGCAAAAGAAACAGGGCCTCATCATGTCTGGTCTGTGGACACCTGATTGGCCTTTGGCATTTAATGTGAGTTTGGTGGAAACCATAGGAGAGATCAAGCTGAGGCAGGTTTCAAAGACTTCGGCTGCTGTAGGGAGAGTGAGCTTCCATGGTGGCAAAGTTAATAGCCTGGAGGTTGGGGCTGCAAGTACCTTGTTTTTACTGAAGACCTCCTCCAAGAGCTCTCTCTCCCATGCACAGGAAAACACCATGACATGTTCAGGCATCAGGGACCACCCACTGTACCCTCAGGGATGGGTCTTGCCCACTGTCACATGGGAGGTTGGTACAGCCTGGCAGAGGCCCTGAGGTGGGAGTGTGCTTGGAGGGTGTTTCTCGATGCACCCACCAGCAGAAAGGGATGGGGAGATGGGTAGGGCATGAAGCTAGAGCAAGGCAGGGCTTGGCCATGGCGAGGATGCTGCGTGTCTGGAATATTGGGCCAGGGAGACTGGAGACATGTACATCTGGGTGACCCCAGCTCCCTTATGTGAGTGCAGTT